TAATTAAATGTTATTGTAAAAAATTTTAGTAACGTGATCACTATTGAAATGTAGATCATTTCACCCTACCCTTAATAGTTAAGATTTGTTTAGATATACTAAAAATTATAATACAGTAATACAGTAGTATAATGTATTAAGACCAATTCAAATTGATTTTATTTCATAAAATAATATATAAAAGTGGAAGAAAGGATACGTATAAAAAACGCAAATTAATAAAAACAGTAATTCTATAGGTTGTAAAAAAATATATAAATTTAAAAAGTTAATCCTGGTTAAGATGTTTTTATATGTAAACTTTAAATGAAAAATTAAATTGGTATAGTCTAATTGAAAAACTTGAGTCTAATGCAAAATAAAATACCCAAGCAAAAAACCCAGGTAAATTATGCTGCTACGAGCCTATGTCACAAGAAAAAAATTGAAAAACACGTACGTACATACTTCGCATCTATAATAAGCAGTTCAAATTTTAAAAAATTAATATTTAATTATTAAAGACCCGCGTTTACGCAAGGGTATTTTGCATAGGGGATATTGTAGAGAGTAATATTTTAGTCAGTACAATACAATAATATTTTAGTATAAATCTATTTTTACCATGACTTGCGCAATAATATCAAATATAATATACTTTTTACTATATAGATAAACTTTTTCTTGAATTTGCAAAAAACGTCACAAATTCGTACAAACCAATAATATTATTATTTAATTTATAATGTATACAGTATAATAATTATAACTAGATTTTTTAAAAAAATTTTTATTTAATTGCAAATATATTATAATACAATAGATACATACAACTTATTACATTCTTTATTAAGAGTGTAACATTCCTCATAATATATTTACTTAGCTCCACCAATCCATATATAGTGTGATAAAAAATCATGTACTATAATTATACTGCATAAAACATGATAACCAGCAAACCCACATATCAATGTCCGAATCACGTAATAAATAGCAATTCCTTTCCTATTGACAATTTACCATTTCTTGAATGGTAAAAACTTACCCTCGAGTATTATTTTCACTCTGGATGAATCATCACTCCCTTTGACCTAATATGATAAATCAGCTATTAATAAATGATATTAAAATAAAAATTAAAACTATTTTCTTACCTTTTCAACATTTGCGGTGAAATCAATTGCAGACATAATTCCATCACCAAACTATAAAAAGGAATAATTATTGATTAAATATGTAATGAATAAATTGAAAGTTCGTAAAGTTACCTTTTCATTAATAACATCCTTCAACGGAAGTCCATAAATCTATTAACCAAAATAAAAGTTGAATATTATAAACCATTTAAATTCAGGGCAATATCTAAATCACTTTTTACCTGTATGATTTCATATAAACGATAAATCAAAGGGTCTCTAGGAGGAAGTTCGAATAATCTATGTTTCACAAAATTTATCCCGTCAAGAAATATTTTCCGTAACACAAAATCAGGCCGAAATAAATAATTTAATCCCCCCGATTACTATATCAAGATCACGGGAGGATTATTATTACTAATCCACCTTACCCTCCACGTATAGGGAAAAAAGTTTGAGTTCCAAGATCATTTGTAAGGTATTGCTGTGGTAAATCCAAAATTGCGCTTAATTTTTTAAGATCTGCCTCTTCAGGCTTAGCCTTTTTGAGTAAGAACAATCCAATAGGAATGTCAACAAAAGAGAAAGAACAAAGATCAATAAACAGGGTTGGAAATGGAGCAATGGAGCAAATGAGCTCAATGGTTATACGAATGGAACTCAAAAGACTAGTATCTATCAGAACTCCATTGGCTCCATTCGCAGCTCCATTGGACTTCATTGAACTCCACTGCTAATACTGTTAATTAGATAAATAAGTTTTAAAAAAAAACCTGGCCATAAAAAACAGATGCAACCCAAACTTCATCTCTGCCGAGTTGTTTTCCAATGTCAGCAAAGCTATTAATTTTAAAATTTGGTCATAAAGAATATTGTAAGCCATGGAATTGTAATATTTAGTTGTTTCATGAACATACGTGAGTTTTTTTGATGCTTTAGCGTCAAAAAATTTTTGCAGGATAGGAGTTAATTGGGCTCTTAGTGTAGGCTTAATTTAATTGAAAATTATATCAGTGAAATTTGCATAAAAAAAAACCAATTATTTCTTCCACAACTCACATTCATATTTCTGTATTCAAGCTAACGAACAGACATCAAACTTGTTAGGGTTAATTGTGTCGCGTCATCATTTAATTATTATTATATCAAACACATGTTTGATGTGCATAAACCTGTTATCGTTATCTCTGTGTTAGGATATTATTCGTACGTGAGTACGTACGTACGTACGTATGTTGTAAACAAATGGTTGATATTTGACTTTCTTCGCAGATTCGTTGATCGTACAACGGAGAGTTTGGTTGTTTAATAAACAGCTAATGGATAGTTTAATAGGCCATTGAGCATAATACGTAAAACATAAAACCATGACGAAATCATGAGCTCATGTTCACATATATTTATCAACATAATTGCGACGCAATATTTTTAACTAGACAATTGAAACACGAATTATTGTTACGGAAGTATTTCACCTCGGCAAAGTTATTTTACTCTATCAAATTTTGAATATAAGTTTTTGCCCTAGCGAAGTTATTTTACTCTGCAAAAGGTTTCAGATTTTGAAAAATAATTTCTTCCGCAGCGCTAACCCCAAAATATGTATATAAAACGAGAAAACATCATCTTTTATAATGTAAAAACAGAGAGCTGAAAATGATAGGATTGCGATGAGTAGCCAAAAATTATAGGTAAAACTTCAAATTATCATAAAAATCGCATTTATTCCATATGCTTGTTTTACTATATAATTCAGCCGACTTTTTTAGTATGTGGAATATAATTCCATATTTCTATATCTAAGGTTGATGCGGCGAATCCACTTTTTTTTTTTTGTTTTTTTGAGGAGAAAAAAAAATAAAAATAAAATAATCCCTCATTTTACATATGCTCCAAGAAAAAAAAAATTAATATCCAGAAAGATAAAAACCAAAATCTATTAGTTCACAATAAGTATTACACAAAGTTGTAAAGAAAAAACAAATAAAGTAAAGAGCGCAACAAAAAAAAAAACTTCATTGCTATAAAATCGATGCGCTCATATATAGTTTTTTTTTTTTTTCTTTTTTTTTTTACTTATTTTTGTTTCTTCCGTCCGATGGTGAAATTCGTCCAAACAGCATTCAAGATTTCAAAGTTGAAGTAATTTAAAGGGAATCAGAATCTGCTTGACAAATATTAAAAGAGTAGGTAATTTTGAGAATGTAGACGATATGCAAAACAATGTTTATATAGAACGAGTTCAGAAATTCCTGGCGGTGTCATTATAAAGGAAATATATATATCCGAAATGCAATAGCGTTCAAAAATAATTTTGTTTTCTTTGTTTTTTGTTGCCTTTGAGAAATTTGGAGAATTTTCGTTGTCAACCTAGATAATATTGGATGATCGGTCATTAGGAAAACATATTGTGTCACGATGGAAAAAAATGAGAAAATTAGAGAGTTCGTATACATATATATATATTTTAATTAATTATGATAGTTAGGTTGCACGAAAGAACCCATTATTTTAGAATTTTTTTTTTTTTTAAAGGAAAGTCCAAAATTATGCACTACATTATCATATGTTTATGAATATTATAAACAAATGACCAACAAAAACGAAAGTCGGATGGTGCGAAAGTTGTGACAAAATATGAATTTATATGAAATACTTCATCGAATTTTAATATCTTTTTTCTAGCCAAATAAAATAAATTTTACATACACGAGTGCAACCATAGAGAAAAAGAAATCAAAAACTTAGCTACACATACTACATGTAATAACGCCGATGAACTTTTGCCAAATTCCTCGCCTTCGGTGAGAGTTTGAATCAGCACCATTATTTCCTTGGATACCATTAGCAGTGCCACCGTTTCCTCCGTTCATACCAGCACGACCGGAGTACGGATTATTCAAATCTTCGACTCCAGGATTCAAAATCGCACTGTTGTGTTTGTTGTGCGTTTTTCCAGTCCCTCGTGGTGCCTTAGAATTAGCATGAACTAAAGCAGGTGAAGAAGGTGTTTGTTGTTGGCTACGGTTCATTGATGGACCACGATTAAGTGATGAACGATGAAGGCGTGGGTCCGATGATCCGTGATGAACATGAAGGTGAGCCGATTGATGAATACCAGCGTTCGTGCTATATGGCTGGGAGGAGGTACCATGAAGTGTTACGCGGGTGTTAGTTTCAGGATTAAGTGTGCCGTCATCTTTCCGCTATTGATGTGTGTGGATCACAAACCAAAAAGCGACAAAGACGATGGAAAATAAATATAATCTCTGAGAACATTCTTTGTAATTGTCATGATAACTCAAAAATATTGAGAAACCAGAAAAATTATTAATAAAAATAATTCTTACCGAACCTGCTTCCCACCCTTTGCCACCATTTAATAGCATCCAATCATAAACACCATCTTCTACCTCATTAGTATTCTTTAAAACTTTAGTGAAAAGTTCTCTCAGAAAATCATAATCTGGATTTTCTTCGAAATTAAGCTTACGGACATAATTAAGATAAATCCCAAATTCCTCTTAAAAAAAAAAAAAAAAAAAAAATTGACCAAACAATTAATGATGAACAATCAAAGTAATATATCTTATATATAACAGGAAACATACCTGGGAAACCTTCACATAATTCTTTGATTGGCGTTGATTGCTTTTTTTCTCCAATTTTTTCATATTTTTGTTTATTTGTGGCAGCTTTAAGTCCTTGCCATGGTAGACCACCTCTTAAAAAATACATAAAAACATGACCAAGAGCTTCTAAATCGTCACGTCGTGATTGCTCTGTAGGGTATTGCATTTAAATACGTATTTTTACACTATCAATACAATGAATGATGAAGTAGATGTTGCCAGTGTATTAAAAAAAAACTCGTACAAATTAATGACTTGCCTCTTCCTAAATGTGTATTGATACTCATATACCTAGCCGTTCCACTTAAACTTTTTCTTTCTCGATATGGAATATGTTGTCTTGTTTTTGGGTCGCGATATTGTTTAGCCATGCCAAAATCAACAACATGAATTACGTTGGCAGATTTTGTCCCCGGACGACCAATCAAAAAGTTATCTGGTTTGATATCACGGTAAATGAGGTTCTTCTCGTGAATAGTTTGTACTCGTGTAAGCTAATAATGACATATATAAAAGTTAAATAAAATAAATAAAATAATAAGTTACGTTAATATGTATATAAATATATATAACAAATTAGTAAACATTCGATTACTAAAGTTTTAATATGTTCTTACCATTTGCTTTGCTACCATAACTACTGTCTTAATGCCGAATTTTCTTCCGCACATATCAAACAAGTCCTCCAGACTTGGACCAAGAAGATCAATGACTAGTATGTTATGTAAACCTTCTTGACCGAAATAGTATACAGTTGGTATACCCGCTATATATGAAAATAATGATAATTAGAAATAGTAATATGATATTTATCTTGATTAAAGATTTCCACGTAATATTGGTTCAAAATTAATTACATACGTGAGCCAGCCAAAATTTTATATGTTCTATATTCGTCTCGAAGTTGGGGAGCATCACTTTTTCGTGGTTCCTAGTTTTTGAATTTTGTAATTTAACTAATAAGTAACTTTATTCTTGGCCATTAACCATAGGAGAAAAAAAAAAAAAAAAAAAATTTAAAAAAAAAAAAACGTACGAATTTTATGGCAACTTGTTGATTATTTAGCAAATTTGTCCCTAAAGTTAAATAGAATAAATAAATGCATTGAACGAGTGATGGAATATTAATAAAAATAGATAGCAAGATCTGATGGCTGTAGACGCCCAGATCTGAAATGATTATTTTATCTTTCTGATAAAAACGTTATCAAATAAAAGTCATCAAGTTACTTGAAAGAGTAAGCCATATAAATGTTATTATATCAATATTGTCAAACAGCCACTAAGGTCAAATTAGCTTAATAAACTAATAATCATGTAAGCTATATGTATATATCGAATGTAAGATCGGTGCAGTTTTGAAAGTTTTCAAGTCAAAACAAAACAAATGAATAAATAAAAATAAAAATAATAGATTTTTTTCGTTTACTATTAACCAATCAGTATTGCGATGAAATCCCTGTCAAAGGTACTTTCAAACTCCGAGAAAAGTAACATATTCACAAAAGAAAAGGCTAAATGTTGCCGAATAGAAAAATGGGTTATTTACCTTCAAAGATGACACCAAAACTTCCCTCGCCGATTTTCTTCCCAACTCTGTAGTGTACGCCCACTACATTTGAGGAGTGTAAACTATGCGTGCTAGCCATATTATTTGTCATGTGGTGGTGGTGATTTGCCGCCATTTTACTAGATTAAATATATTCACTTGATTTTGTTGGGTAAGGAAAAAAAATAAAAATGCCTTTTATGAGTGTCGTATATATATGTATATATATGTGTGTGTTTTCTAGAGGGGACACTTAAGATGGAAAGGTATGGAAAAACTAACAAGGGATTCACAAAGGTTGAGCTCAAATAAATCAACCTGAAACTCAGTTTCTAATCGCTTGCAACAGTTGGAGGGAAGATTCAAAGGCGCGAAAGAAAGAGGAAGATAAAACGATTGAAAAACAGGGAGTTTCAGCTTCAGAATGAATAGTCGTAGGAATATGTCTTATATATTACGTATCAATATATCAAGTATAAGCTGCACACAAACTTCCACTGCTTTATATTGAGACTACCAACTACTTCAATGCCTATTATACTTCATCGTTATACTTAGATATCACATTGCACTGAAAATTTTTTATATCACATGATCAACGATCTCCAGAGTGCGCATAAAAAAAATCGGCGTCAAAGGTAACTTCTACACGTGCAGGATTTCATTATAACGTGAATGTGATGTGATAATAATATCACTTTAAAGTCATAATCGATATGCATGCAACTAAAAAAAGATGATTGGATATAAGTTCCATCTATATTGGATATAGCAAGCTTAAAAGTTGACTATTAATAGAACTTAACGACAAATCAATTAGAGACAGTATCTACTACTAAAACAAAGCGAGCCAATCATTTATAATATAAATCATGTGGTCGGACAAAATTTTGCTAAGATCTATAGTATGCTAGTATGCGTGATACCACTATACCTGAAAATATAAGTCCTCCGCTACGCTCTGGACAATATGCCAACTGCAAACCCGATATCAATTACTCAAAATACGACAGTAATCGTTCATCCATTGGTGCTATTGTCTGTTGTAGATCATTACAACCGTGTAGCAAAGAACACCAAAAAACGTGTAGTTGGCGTTCTTTTGGGTCAAAATAATGGCAAAACTGTTAACGTTGCAAATAGTTTTGCTGGTATACAAGCTTCTCAAATTTATAACTTGGTAACGATTGATCACATACCTTAGACAAGTTATTTTGTTATTTCAAATATAGTTCCATTTGAGGAGGACGAGAAAGACCCCTCGGTCTGGTTTTTGGATCACAACTATGTAGAATCAATGAACGATATGTTTAAGAAAGTCAATGGTATAGTACTTTAACAAAAGCTTTTTTTTTGTTTAAAAAGACATCTGCTTATTTTTTTTTCTTTCATGGTTAGCTAGGGAAAAGATGATTGGATGGTATCATAGTGGGCCAAAACTTCGAGGATCCGATTTAGAAATTAACGAATTGTTCAAAAGGCATACACCCAATCCAGTCCTAGTAATTGTAGATGTGAAGCCTAAGGATATTGGAATACCAACGGATGCATATTTTGCTATCGAGGAAATCAAAGATGTATGTATAGTGTTAGTTTTCATGTAAAACAATTATTGATTTTAAAAGATTAATTGTTGCATTCTAAATAAAATTAATAGGATGGTACCGCCGCAACCAAAACATTCATGCATGTTCCTTCTCAAATCGAAGCAGAAGAAGCGGAAGAAATAGGTGTCGAACATCTTCTTCGCGATATCAAAGACAACGCTGTTGGCACACTTTCCACTCGGGTCACAGATCAATTAAATTCATTAAAAGGTCTACAATCTCGATTAGAAGAAATCCGAGATTATCTTCAAAAAGTGGTTAACGGTACTTTACCCGTAAATCATCAGATTATTTATAATCTCCAGGATATTTTTAATTTGCTACCAAACCTTAATGTTAGCGAAACGGTGAAATCGTTCTCTGTAAAAACAAATGATCAATTATTAGTCATTTATTTGTCTTCTTTAATTCGAGCTGTGATTGCACTTCATAACCTCATCAATAACAAGATTGAGAATCTTAAAGGTGAAAGTGTTCAAACTGAGGAAGAGAAGAAAGAAAGCAATCCATAACACAAAACCACCCACGAAAATTTTACGTTCACGTGATGAGCGGCGCAAGCCAATCAGAAACTAAAATAAAATGCCACGTTTTTCTACTAAGAAATTTTTATAAAAAATACGTAGTAATGATAAAAAATCGATAAAATGAGATATAAAAATCTAATAATTTTATTAATTTATTTCATAAGGGTGGGAAAATGAACAATAAATGGACAACTACAGGCAAACAACGAATTTCAGTAAAATAATACAATGTTTTTTACCAACAATGTAAAGTTTTCAACGAAAACTACCTAAAATCCGTCGAATTATTTGGCGTGCGCCACTCATCACGTGAGCTGGACTCTTCGTGGCGAGTTACATCATACTTAGTAGTATAATATATTATACAAATTTATGTTGTAAATAATCGATGGACTGGGATTATTTCAGTTTTCTGTTAGTGAAAAGTCATGCGACACTCGTTTATTGACAAGCTTAACGTTCGATAAAACAAAAAGATCTAGTTTCAGATAGAATTTTCTAGTATTAGTCAATTGAGCAGCTTTTGGGAATTATTGTGGTGCGATGTAAGCGTACGTACATATTATAATACAATAAAGCTGATGATCTATATCATTTTTATAAATAGCTAATTCTGTAATTATTCCAAATTCGTAATATAAAGTTGACCCTTTACGTATTATTAACCTTCATGGGACTGAATCTTTCTATTAACATGTGGAAATTGATAAGAGAAAGGTATAACAATTTAGTTATATAATTACATAAAAAAGCATTAATACAAATTAATCAAAATGATATTAAAAAATGTAACTATGAATTTCAGAATTCTGGTCGACATTTATATTAAAATTTCAAAATTTGGGCTCATCATTAAATATTGCCTTTTCATACCCGCTTTGCTAAAATTGAAAATCTATCGTCACATCACTTCAAATTTTGTCACATATAGACAAATTTAGTTACCTATTATAATCGCCGATATATCACCTGCCGATGGTAATTGCCGAATTTGTTGGTCACAATTCTTTAAAAAAAAAAAATCCGGTCTATTCAAAGATCACCAATTGAATTTTCTAAAAAAAAAATAGTTATTTACAAGTTTAGTAATTCTTTAAAGTGCTTACGTGTGTATTGTAAATTATATACAGTATCGATTCAAACTTAAATATAAAATTTTTAATTGGTTAAAATAATGTAATATTTTAAAAGTATATGTATATATGTGTATATATATACATACGTGTGTGCAATTACGATTAAATATAAAAATTTGGTTAGCTTAATTCAACTACGTATACGTATACGTACAATATATATTATATATTGAATTATATACAACATATATATATATGTATATATATATATATACGTATATCGATATTATTTACTAATTTTATAATTCTAATTAACACAATTGATAACCCTCTTAACACTAGTGCTAGATAAAATTTAGGAGTTTTACAGAATCTTATGTTTACCAACCAAGCTGCATAATAGAATTTTGCCATCCGAAGAGATTGTTTTATTCGGGTTTTGATATAAAACAAGCACAACTTTTATATTCGCAATCTATTTAGAGATGCGATCCGTCATCTTTTTCCGTTTTTCTATTTAAAATTTAACGGATATCCGGATATCCGGATATCCGAAATACTGTTATCAAATTAGAAACAGTAAAACTGGCGTCTCTTTACAAAATACGCATAACACCGATTAAACGTAAAATTAATAAATATGGAGATCCAATTGGTTAGCTAATTTATGTTTTTAAAAGGTTTAAAGGCATAAACCAATTTCCCCGACAACCATTTACTCGACACCCATTTCACCGACAACCTATTTCCCCGACAGCCCACTTTCCCGAAACCATTTCCCCGACAAGATTTTGGTTAGGGTTGGCTGGTGATTGTCGGTGAAATGAACTGTGGCCGTCGGTGAAATGGTTGTCGGGTAAATATACCAAATCCTTTTTTTTTTAAAGGTTAGACACAAGGTTTTAATTCAAATTTTTATTAAATTCAAATTATATAAGATTATTTGATTAATAAATATAGTAGGGATTTCAAAATTAACAAATAAGTAACGCATTTCGAAAATAAGTAGGATTTTTTCAATAGTATTTTTACTATGTTGAATTATAAATTAAAAAAAATAAAATAAGATTCTCTGATTTTAATTTTGAAACCTCTAGTATATTTATTTTGGTTTATTATTTTTTAAAAAATAAAATAAATTATTAAAGGTTAGTAGTAGTATATTAAATTAAAATTATCTTTTAAATTATTTCAGACAAATTTGTTTAAAATTTAAATTATATTTAGTATTTTTTAAATAAAACAATAATTTATTAATAATATAGAGAATAGCTAATATTAATTAGAGAAAATTTATCTAGTATATATTGTGGCAGATTAAAATGAAATAATAATATAAAATCTCAAAAAATAAATTTTTTTGGTGTGTATTTTTTAGGATTAGAGGTTAGAATTAGGAGTTAGAATTAGAGTAAAATATATTAAACAAGTATAAGTGGGTTTTAGAAGGTTAGAAGGTTAAATAGAAAATGTAGATTTCATTTTAAATTATGATCTGCAACAATTACTAATTATTAGCAAAGTTTATTTCTTATATTGTCTATTTATTCTATAGAATATTCAAGAATTATTTATTTAAATCTTCTGCATTTATATATATTATTTTTTAACTGAACAAAAATATAAACAGTAATATATATTTTAACTGTCCAAAAGTTTTTGCTACTGTTTAATATTCAAGTATTCAGATATTTACAAGTGTCTAGAGTATATTTAAGTTTTAATAATTAATAAATTTAGTTTAAAAAATATATAATTATATTTTTTTTTAGATATTGAATATATTTTACTTAAAAAATAATATAGGTTATTTTAATAAAATTTAATTTATTTAATTATTCAAAATTGTTTAAAGCATCTAAATTTATTGTTTTTTTTTATATTTAAGGTGAAGTCATATTTTTAGTTTTTATACATATTAACCTCAACAGGCTACGGTTATATACAGTATTATTACACTAATAATTGTAATGTTATATAAATTAGTCATAGAATATTATTTCATATTATATATTATATTTTGTGTTTTATTTTTTATATTTGAAATATTATACTGTATTAATAATACTGTATTATTATAACACCCTATATGTTTTACTTAGGGTTAGGGTCCAGTTTTAAAATACATAGTAATTTTTTTATTATACAATATATATGAGACATAAGGTTCTAATAAATCCTAATTTTAGTTTTTATGAAGTTTTCAGGGGTGTTGATTATTTTTACTTAGAGTACCTACACCTATTTACTTAGTACGTTTTTGAGATATTGCAAAAAGTGTTATATAACATGGTGTTATGAATATAACATTCCTTTATATTTATATTAGATAAATTATATTATTTAGATATATTTATTAGAATAGAATAGTTAGAAATATATACCTATATGTGCTGTATATCACTATATGCTATATGCCAGTATATGCTGTATATCACTATATATCATATGTTAGTGTATACCATATGTCAGTATATATTATCTGCTATATAGTTGTACTATATACCAGTATATTGTATGCTACTTGCTATATAGTTATATACTAGTATATACCATCTGCTACATAGTTGTATGCCAGTATATATCACTTAGATGTATATCAATATATACCACTTCTACAGATATATAAAATGAGGTTTTTTCTCTTAGTTCCTAAAGATATTTTCCTTTATAATTCTTATTTTCCCTTAAATATTGAATTAGCTATCTAATATCTATGTTCTCTTCTTCTAATATGAATTGTATTATCTGTATTACCTGTACTATCTGTATAACTTATTTATACCACCTTATTACTAAATAAACTATTCTATATCTGTGAATATTGTTCTATAATTTAAATACTGCTATAACATCTTGATATTTCTTGACAGAAATATAAAAATTATTGCCAGATATTTTAGTATTAAGAATAACTCTTCTTGTTAAAATTTTTAGTTTATAAACAGTAAATTAGTGTATTTTCTAAATGTAATATTCTCAGTCATGTATATTTTTTTGGATATAATATTTTCAGCTATATATATTTTTAGATGTAACATTCTCAATCGTGTGTAATTTCTGGACGTAACATTTCTAGTTGTGTATATTCTGAATAGGATTATTGTTTTTATTAAATAATTATTGCTAACAACTTTAAAAGAAATAGTAAATTAAATTCCAGGCTTAATTCTAGCAATAGAATTAGAATATATTATAGATATGTCTACTGTAACTAAGTTTTATAACAATTAAATAGCTTTATATGAACAAGCATATCAACAAACTACTTCTTTACCTTATAGTATTTTAGTTTACAATTAAATTATACTAATTTATCTTGTTCTTTTTATTATTTCTTTAAATAATATAACTTTTGTGAAGAGTTTGATCAATTTATTAAATAATATCAAACTATTGTACCTTTACAAACTTTTAACTTGTCTACTCAAAACCAATTTCATATTTTAAAAAATACTACTAGATATACTGTTATCCAGGAATATACATTTTGACTGTCCAAAAGCTTTTTTGGCACTGTCTAACGTTCAAGTGTCCAAGTGTTCACAAGTATCCAGAGCATATTTAAGCTTTAATAATTAATAAATTTGTTTAACAAATATATAATTATATATTTTTTTAAGTGCTAAACATATTTTATTTAGAAAATAACATAGGTTATCTTAATAAAATTTTAAGTAATTTTAATTTATTTAATTGTCCAAAATTGTCCAAAGTGTCCAAACTTACTGTCCACAACTGTTCCGTGACAACACTGCTATTATCTATAGAGCTGCATATAATTTAATATTTAGTTATCACTATTATAGTAATATTTCTAACTCTAAACAATTAATAATTTATTTACTATATAGATATACAACTTTTTCATATTACTCACCTTTAGGATTAGCTCTTGCTAATGTCTAT